TTCGACAGAGACATCCTCAATTATCACTGTGCCAAACGGAGTCAACTTCACTGGCAAGAGCCAGAGCCTTTAACCCCCACAACATTGAGATATTTTTTAAAAATCTAGAAGCAGCCATTTCTGTTCATAATTTGTGTGGTGGACAAATTTACAATTTAGCCACCTATCCTATGAGGCATTGTTACTTGTTAAAGAGAACTTTATTTATATTGTAACATTGCCACCACAAACCTCAAATAAAACACGGACACTAGGCAGATTAGTCTTTGGACCATTAAAAATTGCATTCAATGCTTGAGCTGATTCGTGGATACTTAGGAACGTAGGCAAACCAATCACAATTTACCAAATTGCTGAACTTGGTGGTGGGGCCTTCGTCAAAGCAGCGGTCCCATCAAATATATTGTCTGGTTTCCAAGCCAGCAGAATTTGGCCTCTTAATAAAGACATTTACACAGATATAGACTTTATGCCTTGTGCTATAACAGACAGACCAGATCCACCTGAAACACTGTCTCTAGATGCGTCTTCTTTAGGTAGCCCAGCTACATCATCTTGTCCCTTGCAACTCCACCAGTCTTCACACCCCAACCCATCAGTGTTCAGGTCACCTGATATTTTTCTAGGCTACCCTAAAGCACGACCCATTACAAATAATACTAGAAAGAAAAGACAACCGTGAATTGCCACATCAACCCCTGAAATAAAAGAACATTCAGCAAGATCAGCTGATTAAAGACAAAAAGGTGTCACGTCCCTTAAAATTACAGGCAAATCCATTATTTGAAAGTGACGATAGTGACTCTGACATGCACTTTGACCTGATAAGCAGTGATGATTTAGATGACTTTATTTCAGACTGTGAAGACATGACAACTAATTGTGTTGAAATGAATGGTGTTGAAGACGTTATGAAAGATGATTGTGTGCTGTGTGAGTATAGTGTAAAAAGGTCAGTGTTGTTTTATGTGGCTGTTGTGAGGAAGGAAGTGGATGAAGATTGGTATGTGGAAGTAGAATTTTTAAGAAAAGTGAGAAAGTGACTGGGAAATTTATAATACCACACTTAGAAGACATTGCCTGTGTGCCTATTAAAGACATAAAATGTAAACCTACAAAATTACAAAAGACTGGGAGAGCTTGGAATAAAGATAGTTTTTCTTTAAAGAAAACCTGAGTTCTTTAAATGTTAAATAAATCTGTGTTTTTTCTTTTGCTCAAATTAATTTTTTTCTTAATCGTTATGTTCAATAAATATAGATAAAAATAAAATATAAAATGGTTTTGCTTATCTTTTTTAATTACGTTACATATTGTATAGTGCATTACAACACAGCAAAGAGAAAATTAATAGAAAATATGTAAAAAAATATTGATTTATTTTAACCACTTATTAGTTAGCTCCCAACGTGGTGGTCTATTTCGCCCTTCGCTATGACCATTTCTCCCAACCGAACCTACATAGTCATAGTCATCAGTTTCTTTTGAATTTCATAAAAACTATAAAATTGATGACAATGCAAATTAAGTTTTTGAGTGCACATTTAAACTGGCTATTACATAGCCACATTTTATGGTTATACCTTTCTATTTTTTAACACCAGCTGCATTGTTTGACTGATGTTCATTTGGTGGCCCATTTCTCCTGACTCTCCCCTACATTAAAATTTAATCTAGAATGTTCCAGAAAGTTCTATAAGTCAATAGGCTTAATTCTCCTACATCGATAGATGGATCTTGACCAAACTTAGGACGTATATCCATCATTATCTGGAATGAACTCTTAAGTGGGTTATGAACTTTTTATAACATTCCGTTTGGGGCCGGGGGCCCAAAATTTCGTCTTTTCCTATTTGAGTTATATAGATAAAATTACTAAACAATACCCTTACATGAATGGATGGATCGTGACCAAACTTAGAACACATACACTTTATTATGCATATTCAAATACCGAAGAGTACTGAACTCATAGTATCCATTACTCTGGGGCCAGGGGCCCCGTTTCATTTTTACTAATTGATGCTATATAAGTATTAATAGACTTAGACAACACTATAGGTTCTATGTGAATTGATGGATATAGGCCTAGCTTGGCAGCAATACACTTTATTGCCCGTGTTGAAATATCGGTGGATTTAAAACTTTCATTTTTAAACCGATTTTAATCGGACAAATTTTAAATTTATAATTTACCGTAATGGTTTTTATGGGGTTCCCCATCTCAGGCAAAACTGATTCGGTAAAATTATGGAATAGGCCCCCACGGGCCCCCGTCTTTTAGCTTAAATGTATTATAGCTATAGCAGTGCATTTGGTTGTGTTATTTTTCGAGTTCAAAAAAATAATTATTTAGAAAGTTAGTGTTAACACGTTTCGAGTAGATTATTAAATTTTATATAGAATTTTCCAGAATTTTCTATATAGTTCTAAGGGGATATATAAAACATACGGGGATATATAAAGGGATATAAAAGCTTGTAGTAAAGTTAACGAGATCAAGCAGTAAATTGAACCCAACGGTAATGCGATTCAATCGGGAAACGAGATCAAACCGGGATCGGAATCATATCAGTCAATGGGATCCTATCAGAGAAGAGGTTCCCACCGGGAAATGGGATACTAACGGGATCGGGATCCCCCCTCGGATCGGAATCATATAAGAAAACTCAAACCTACCAAGATCGGTACCCCACCGGTATCGGGATGCCACAGTTATCGGGATCCCGCCGTTTCGTTATCCCACTGGTATCGCGATTCCACCGGGATCGGATAACCGAGGTGATTGGGATCATACCGGAATTGGGATCCAGAAAGATCGGAATCCCACCGGGAAACGGTATGCTAACGGGAGCTGGATACCGACGGGATTTGGAGCCCACCGGGATCGGAATAATTGTAAGGCTGTACACTGTTGAAGTTGCTTCGTTCTGAATGCTATCCCAGCAAATGCCGGGTATATACGCTAGTACTCTATAAAATTTGATGAACACTTGCTGCACCTTGATCGATTGTTAATACGCCCGGAAATTCTGCCATAGTTCGTGGCATCAAACATAGAGGTTAGTCTTAAACTTCGTCCTATATGTCAAATTTAACGGCGTCAAGTCAACTTTCTCAGGTACACCATCTCAGCCCAAGTAATTGGCTGTGACGCTTCAGAGGTCGAAGTGGTGAACAACTGGCCAATTCCAACAACCACAACAGAGCTTTCCTATGATCTATCTTTGGATTCGCCAATATTGCCGGGCTACTCCACGACCTAGTCACGGTAGAAAGCAAACAGTCCAACAAAAAGACGATCAAAATAGATCTTTCTTTTCGTAACACATTTTCAGAAAATTATTTTTTTCATTGCCTTCCCAAAAGAAATGTTTTTCCTATTAATATTAATATATTGTATTTTTGGGAAGATTGTCTGGGCGTCAGAATTTGGAACTCACCTATGTAATGTGTTCGTCCGCCTTGCCATTGTTTGAAACGATTCTTCATCCTGTATTAAAGTGTAACAAATCCTTAACATTTGTTATCTCCCACAAAATTAAATCACATCTGCATAAAAAACACATATCATTTGAGGCACTGTAACAATGAATGCAATTTAAGCTTAAATTTATGTTATTGCCTTGTAATGCGTTGTAAAAAAATAATTCATAATTTCTTCCATCATGTACTTATTGCTTCCAAAAATAATTATTGACCAATTTGTCCTTGCTTTATCTCCCTTTACAGGTCTTAAATTTTGATGCTAAATTTGAAAGGTTTTAATGTAATTCAACCACTGTTACAAATTATTGACTAACTCCCTTAGCTCGTGTACGTAAACTCTACGATGAATATGAGATATTACACATTTGTAGAAATAATTTTTATTTATCAAGGTATCAGTAGTTAAACCCAGGTATCGGGAAACATATTTTGTATTTTAAAAAAAGCATTCTATATGTTTTTACATGTAGACTATAACATTTATCTGGAATAATATCTTAACTCTGAACTTTAAAAAAAAAAATCGACTATGGTATTATTATTAATTTTTTTTTTTTTTAAAGTTGGGTGTGGATGAAGCAGCTTTATGGAATCTTGGTCTGAATCAGATTATATATATTTTTTTTTCAAGTGATCCAAGGTTTTGCTATTAAGTGATCCAAGGTTTTGCTATTAAGTGATCCAAGGTTTTGCTATTAAGTCTTCCAAGGTTTTGCTATTAAGTCTTCTAAGGTTTTGCATAATCCATGAAAAAATTGCATCTGCAAACAACAAAATTGGAAATATTACCCATCAGCTCAAAATCAACAGAGTAAAGAAAATAAAACAAAATAAGCTTTGAAGCCGTAGGTTTAAGAAAGGATACAGAGTTCAACACCTTTTAAAATGTTTTTAAAGCTTGACTCCCCCACTAAAGCTTTTGCAGAACAAAAGACATGCCATTGGAAATTTTAAAATAATTTATCTTTTATTTTGCAATGTATTTTAGCTGTACCTGTCGGTTGGCAACCGCATTGCACGTGAAAAGCCATCCGATAACTTTAAATTATAGTATAATTAATATGGATGAAATCAAATGTTTCTAGAAAATAATCTTTAGGTTTGTTTCTTCATGTTTGAAATGCGCATTTTCTGTCTACACTTGATTTAATTTTTCTGTTTGTTCTGATTTTCTAATTGGTGGGACTTAACGTTCAAAGCCAATATAGATAGAAATCATTAATAATAGGACAATGTGTGGTTTGAATTAGCGATTAGTACATTCAAACAAAGCAAAACCATATAACAACACATCTTCATGTCATATGTTCTTGAAGATCCAACAATCCACATATTTCCTACAATTAACCTCAAAGTGTTAGCACCAGAATAAAGCTGTTTACTTTCAATGTTGAGGTTTCTGTTCTTTGAAGCAATCATGGCATTTCTAATGTCTTAGTTTAGCGCTAAATTCTGGTTCACAATTACACAGACCACATTAATTCACTGAATGAAAAAGTAAAAATAATGGACTGAAATGTTTTATTGACAATGTTCAGAAAGGTGAAACCATATTTTATTGTTTTAACATGGAACTGTCTGTTTAGATTTACATGTATATACATTTACTATGCGGCCCACCAAGTTGACATGAAACGACCGATCGATAGTGCCCCATCCATACATAAACATCAATGTATTCCATCAGTTGAGACAACTGTGCTGAAGAAGCCTGAAAAAAATTCAACATACCATTCAAATAAGGTAATTACAGTACCACATAAACAAGTGAACATTTACTCAAAGCCTGCTGGACTTTGTTTATCTTTATACTAAAGACACTAATTAGAAATCTAAATAAATCCTTTTGACATAGAGCAAAATAGAATTCCTGTTGTCCAATCAATAGACATAGGGCTAAATATAATTCAAGTTGTCCACTCAATGGACATAATGCCAAATAGAATTCATGTTGTCCACTCAACTGCTAATCCATAAAAGGGAGTTGGGAGAAGCCCAGTGCTTTTTATACAAGACTGTCGTCAATGAAATCCGTGGTGCTCAAAGGCCAACCATGGTACTTATTTGTTGTCATCTCAAGAACACTGCCTTACATTATTTACCAACTAGATGAAGAATAGAAGTACAATACAAGAAAACTGAACAACCCATGATTAATTGTTGAAAAATTATGTATAGAACCAATACTTAATTTCATGAAGCTATTCATCTTTCAGTTTAGTTTACAATATCTGCACACACATTTAAAATTTTGTATCCGTTCACTTTATAAAACTTATTTTAAAAAATGCAGGCCAATAAAATAAGAATGACAATTTAAAACCAATGTGCATATCTTAGGGCAGTAAAGTAAAGACACAAGAATGGCAACATTTGTGATTTATGCAAAGAAAATTATTTTACTTAAAGAACTCAATATCACCACACTGAAGCTTAAATATAAATGTGAGAAAACCATTAACTCTGGTGCTATACTTAGAGTCTACGGGGACAGGGGGGGGACTTAGATTTCAAAAATATGATATAAATAAAAATTCAAATTACTACATTACAGACTACAAATATTCATACACAGAAACATGATAGGCTGAGCAATAGACATCTTGCCTGTATGAAACCCATTTCTTCTTTATGCCTTTCAATTTCAGACCTCAAAAAAATATTTTCAGCTCCTGGTTCCATGGACAAAAAAAAAAAACACAAAAAAAAAAAGAGCCTCTTCCAAAAAAAAAGTTTCTTTTTGTTAATACCATAAAACATAAATAGGCTTAGCAATAGACATCTTGCCTGTATGAAACCCATTTCTTCTTTATGCCTTTCAATTTCAGACCCCAAAAAAATATTTTCAGCTCCTGGTTCCATGGACAAAAAAAAAAACACACAAAAAAAAACAGAGCCTCTTCCAAAAAAAATGTTTCTTTTTGTTAATACCTTGAAGCATAAAATAGTTTTGGGCATTGTGTATCTACGGACGTTGTGTACTGGTAGTAAATCATAAAATAAACGGAGGCTGGGGATCTCATTATCTTAATAGAAATTTAATGATATCACTTTTTAAAATTACAATTCCAGAGTTAACAAAGGACATTTATTATATTGAACAGTTGAAATAAAATTATTTAAATAGGTGTAAAAACAGTGAAAAGGATTGGCAAGGACATCACTTAATAGCAATCAACTAAGAAAAATGACTAACTAATTTAGTGGTTTAAAGTGGAAATAGACCAAAATTTGGTGACTGCAATTACCTAAAATGATCAAGATATTTTAATGACAACTATTAAACTAAAAAATAAAGCATTTCTTCTTTATCAAAATAAATAAATAACTTATAAACAATAAACCTGGAAACAAAAACACATAAATTTTTATTTCTATAAATAACTCATAAGCTTAGCGGAAAATAAAGTAATTCAATTTAATTCTCTTTATACTAAATTAAATATTTTTAAAACTTCCTTTGACCAGTTTAAGAAAGTATGATGACAAGTGTAATTGAACTAAAATGTATAAACCGTTTACATATTGAAATAAAACAACTTCTAGTAGACATCCCTCATCATTTTGCTGTTTATAGAACCAAGAAGTAGAAGTGCTAAAGTAACAAAGATAAGCTTAAATTTCTCACACTATGTTTGATAAAGTGCAATTCAAATGGCTACTTTCCACCCTCCTGACACCACTTTCACCAAAGTATAAAAAATTAAAAATTGCAAATGAAAATTAGGAATCTCAGGCTATTAGTGGAGACTGCATTAACATTGCCACAGCTTAAGTTAATAAATATCTATAAGAATTTTAGCTTAGTGACATTTGGATTAGCATTTGCAAGCTAAAAAAAATGTTTGTCTAACATATGTAATTGTCAATATCAATTTTGTATTTCCTTTGCTTCCCATTTTTTGTTTGTTGCAAACAAATTTTGTCAAATGTCATATTTGATGTAGATCACAACTTATAATTGGTGTGAAGATTTGATTTTTTTTATAGATCAAACCAGATAATAAGATTTTGATAATGGTATTCCACCAGCATTATCTTTCTCTTTGGTTAAAAAAAATATATTAGCATTGTCTTTCTGTCGAATTCAGTTCAATTCAATCTTAGGATTCAAGTTAAAGGAATTTTTAAGGTGCTGTGTTCAAAACAAAGTGGGCCCAGTAAGTCTAGTAAGTGAATCTCAGGTTGGAGAATCTCTTTTGTTGTGGGGTATCCATTTCAAACATGTTGGGTCAATCACTTTGCTGGCAAACTCTGTAGGACGGTTGGCTTTTTTCTCAAGGAACTCATCAATTAAATCCTGTGAAGTGAAGAAAAAAACAACATAAGACATTCAATGTTAGATTCAAATGTTAAAAAAGCCTCAATGAATAATAAAGTGAAAGATACTTAATGCATTGGCACAATGACGTAAAAAAAAAGAATGCAAATAAAACATTATTATTAATACAGAACTTTAAAAAAAAATTAACTGTTTTTAAGAATAATTTTTCATATAATAACTGTCAGCCAATATAAATATTTTTGCATTGCATTATTCATAAAGTCAGTATTGCCAGTGAACACCATTCTCTCTACATGTACAAATTTTACTAACCTGTTTTTTCAAAACAAGATGTTTTCCTTTCCAGTACTTGAGCATGCCTAGAGCTTGTAACGTACTGACTATGTCATTAGCATTGATAGCAGTTTCTTGACTCACATCTAATGATAATCAAAGTTAACATTCTATCATTACAATTTGAAAGAGGGATTCCATCTTTTTAATATTTAAATTATTTTTAAATAATCCAGTAGTAAGTAAGTATTTAAAGCACACCTTTTATGCAAATTTCCTGGCCTTTGTATTTATGAAGATACTCGAGAAGAACATCTTTCCAATAGCTTCGGTATGAAAGCAAACCAAGGTCGGATAAAGGTCGTTCAGGTGAGCCAACTTTTTCTTCAACTTTACTCAAGAGATAACCTAGTTAGATGAAACAATTTGACTTAATGCAGATTGTGTAAGATTTACAAAGAATCTTTGTTAGGTTTTTCTCAATGATGCCATACAATCAGCACTGTGTGCATTACAATATTAATTCAGACTGTGAGTAGCATTATTCTTTGTGATAATTATAGAAAAGCTTAATGTGTTGTGATAAGACTATGAAAGCGTAAATAAATTCCACATTTCATTATTCCAAACTCAATTTTTAGAGTTAGGACATTTAAGAAAATCATTTTTAGCATTTTAGTTTAAGAATGTATTTTTTGTTTAGAAAGATGATGTAAAAAATCAAATTTAACAAAATTATTATAAAAAAATTTGTTAGAAACAAATAAGTTAAAAATTAATGTTGTTATAACTTACTAAAATCAATGAGCATTTTTCCAAATCCTTGTCTCATATACTGTGGCAGTGTTAAGATACAAGACACATTGTAGTTCAAGAAAGAATTCTTTTCCTATTAAGAGAAAACATGCAAATCTAATAAATTAAAACATAAATCAAAATGTTTATATCTTAGTCACAGCATGGAATGTGTCTGCAAGGTGCATGCTGCAGAGAATCAATACCGTTTCCAAGCTTTGTGCTCTGTTTCTTCTTGGTTCAAAAATTTAGGGCAGCTGATCTCCAGGTATCTTCCCCTGGCTTCAATGATGGAGTACATTCAGTGTCACGGCCAGAGGTTATCAAACTATGGAACGTGGGCCAGATCATGCCCGCCAGGCAGTGCAGGTACCCGGGTGCAATGTTCCCTTTAAGCTGCGCAGCTATATCAAAGACGCTGCGCAGCAGTTTTGAGTATCCGTGCAGCAAATTTCCTTGTAAATGTGTGTTTGTGGGCTGTAAAATTTTGCACACAAAAAAATTGATGCTGTAAAAATGTGCACACAACTGTATGATTTTGCACACGAAGCAGCAAACCTTAGAGAGAACATTGCCGGGTGGTAGTGACAAATATGGAGCAGGGCATAAACAATTAAACAACATAAACAATTAATATTTAAAATAAAGCACAATTTTGATAAACATATAGTCTAGTCATTAGTATTTCAGTGGGAGGTATGGGCCTGCTTTTTGGCTAAAAAGGCATAAACAACCTTTTTATATGTTTATCAAAATTGTGCTTTATTTTAAATATTAATTTGTTTTTTCCTGTTTTTTTTTTTGCACCACATATAAAATATTTCAGTGTGCAAAGGAAATCGGTCATATTTTTTTTTCCCAACTAAAGTTCAGCCTTCAACAAGCTGTGATGATAGTGAACCAGCCACCTGAATAAAAAGTTTGAGGACCCCTGGTCTAGGCCATTTTCTTTGTCATTTTCCATGTCTTCCTGGCATAATTTGCAGTTGAGTATAATACTGTGTCGGATGTATTTTGCATACCAAATTAAACAGTGCTTTTGAAATATACATGGGCCCTTCCCAGTTCTAATTTGCAGGTCTACTTCTATGCATTTGTTCTTGGAGATACTGTGTAGATCTTTTAAAGATCTTGTCACTATCCTTCATAATTTTAGTTGAGCCCAAGCTGATCCTCAGGCCTACTATAATTAACTTGCTGCTCTGCTGTTAATTTTAGCAGCAATATACCAGTTTCATTTCATGACTACTACATAAAGTTTCAACTAATTAAAAAAGTGACTAATGTGAAGATTAATGAATAGAGGAAAAGAATAAATTCAATTTTTAAAAAAATATTATTAATGACAATTTTAAAATTACTAACCTTAGAGAAATATCCCACTAAATGACAACCGTTTGAGTCATTTTCTGTCATGGCGTAAAATAGGAAAGGTTCAACATCAAAGTAAAGAGTCTTGTGGTCAAGAAACAATTTTGCTAACAGACACAGATTTTGACAATACACCTGCATAAGCAAAAAATATTTTTAATCTACCAACATTTCAGCAATTTATAATTGTTGTTTTTTTAAAAAGGCCACCTATGATAAGCTCACTACTCTCTAACCATTCTAATTATTATTTGATCACATACAGAATGTCTGTGTCATTTTCTTTAAAAGTAAGATTGCTGACAATTTATGGATGTATTTAAAAAAAAATATATTTGAATGAAACTCTTGATATAACACATTTAAATATGTATTAGATTTGATGATTGATTTTATGTGTGTTGTTAATTATATACTGTTATAATTTCTAACATAAAAAAAAGTTGTACTTGTTCCCCTTATCCCTTTAAAAGAAAATCATACCTTGTTTTTCTTTCCATCCACTTCAAAGAAGCTAATATTTCCTTTTCTGTAAATTTCATCTCCTGGGGGATGCCTCCATAAGCATTTAGCCTATGAGATACAAAGAAATTAATCTCACATATGGTCAAATAACAATACTTTTATTATAAGTTTTACCTAACAGACCACATCTCTTCAAACTGTACTATACGGACTAATTCTCACCCCCCTCTACCTGATAAACAACCCTCGATGCTGCTGGTTGCTGTCCATGGCTAGGCAGGGGTAGATAGTACTTGGGTAGGTGAGGTCAAGCTTTTTATCAATTGATGTTTTTAAATGTATAATTTTCTGTAACAGCTCATTTTTATGTGAGCCTAGCCCTAGGCTGGGGTACTGCGCTATATAAAACCACCTTAATATTAATAACATATTTTCTCTAAGCAGTTTAAGATGTACTGAAAATCTTACCATATGCCTTCTCAAAATGGTTGCTGTTCTCATGTACTTGAGGCAGAATTCACACAGATATATTTTAGGAAGCCTAGCATATTCTTCGGGATATGGTGATGAGTACCAGGTATTGATCTCGTAGCAGCCTATTTCGAGCTTTTTGATGCGGTATTCTTGGAGGTCAGACTTAGCAAAATGCTGAGTAATCTGATGCTCCTGTTGGCATAAGGAGAAGGAGTTCATTCCCAATCCTTTCTACACAACACAAGCATATGATACATAGTGGGAAAATGAAAAATGTAAAAAAAAAATGAACTTAAAATGAAGGGATGTGTTAAATATTTTATTTTTTAAAATTATCTGATGGGGAAACAAAGATTTGACTTTAAACAAAAAAAATTATGGTTAACAAATGTCACCCTCATTTTTGTTCTCCTTATCTAAGCACAAAGAAGCTTGATTATTAAAATTTTAATATATAAAAGTTTTAAAAATGAGAGTTAAGAATGTCTAAACTTGTTTTCAGTCAAATTGTGCTTTATAATAAAAGAAACAAATATTTTGGACATCATGGAATATAGAATTGACAATTCTCCTGTTAAAGCTATGCACGATAAATATTTAATCCTATCTCAGACAAGATATTAATGGAGCATTTGATAAAATAAATGGTTAAATAAATCTGATGGATGAATCTGAAATTGTAGCTTAATTATGGAAGACAAGATAACATTAAAAGTGAAATAAGCACAAGGTATCAATCAGTGCCCCCATCTTTAGTTTAAAAAAACAACAATAACAAATACATTCAAATAAATTTCAAAAGCACTAGATCTATAAGATTAAATTTAAGATTAAATCTTAAATTAGAGATTAATATTTAATGCAATGTGTTTTGGAATGTTGAACTGATACATCATACTTTTTTGACTTGCTCAGAATATATATACATTTGATAGAACATGCTATGTAAGACATTTTTAAAACTAATTTCCACTTTGAAAGTCGCTATCCTACAATGTCTTTAACTTTTAGATCATATAATGTTTTTAAATTTTACATCACGCATTCATTAATGTGCCACGAACATTTTGAGATATCTACAGTTACAGTGCAGTATTTTATTTACTACCATAATGATTTCTTTCAGAAGGAACGACCAAAAAGTAATACTGGAAACTTAAGTGAGAAACTTAGTAAAAATTTCCCCCACAATTTTCGAATATTTAAAACTCCTTTGTTCCCCATGTGAAAATCCTGTCTTACCAGCAGTTCACAGGCTCTTGACTGGGCCTCCTTAAATAGCTCATAATCATATTCAGATGTAAGACCACTGATAAGAGGCTGCCTAGTGTTGCCATGTTGTTCTTTGTGCTTTTTGTGCTTTTCCTTTACTTCTTCCGTTACCTCTGGTCTCTTGCGTCGAGCTTTTGTAATTTTATCATACTTAATTTTTTGAGTTTCACTCAGGGCCTTGAAGAAGATAGACAAAAAAAAATTCTTAATAAAACAATTATATTAATTAAGAGCATGAAGATTGCACATTAATTTCTCTAATGCAAACTTTGAGTGAGTTGCATGTGATTATTTGTATTTACAAGGTCCAATAATCCCTAGGCTTTATGTAATAAAGTCAGTCAGGAACTTCCAACACCTATTGTTAACTTTCATTTTTTTTAAAATATCGGTTCTGACATCTAATATAAAGCCTTCAATATATAAAATCCTCACAAATGACAACTCTCTAAATAATTTAGGATACAAATGCAATGGTATATAATATATTCTTTTAAAAAGGCAAATGCACTTTAATGAAGGAGCTGTGTAAATTAAAAGATGCTGTTATTAGCCTAATGCTTGTGTAGCAATAATACTCCAAATATTTATTATACCTTGAAGACACTGTAATTCTTGCTTTAATTTGCAAAAAAGCACTGGGAATGTTAAATTACTGACTATGAAGTCTTCTTCTTCTTCTTTATTTTGAGGGCCCACGATCAATGAATTGATCATTCTGGCTCCTATGTGTCAGAGGGGTTTGCGATGTTACAGTCCATGGGTTTCAATGGGATACTTCACTGGTTGCATGGGCGACTCAGCAGTGGTGTTATGAACTGGGGGTTGGAATACAGGAGGCAATAGAGACAAATGTGTCGAGTGTAGCTGCCTCAACTGTTGCTTTTGGAAGCTTGTTCCAGTCCCCTATTGTCTTCGGCAGGAATGAGGAGCTTCTGTACTTTGTTCTTGTTTTTACCAGCCGGAACTGTCTGTCGTGGCTTCGTCGCAGTCTAGGGGGAAGATGAACGAGTTTCTGTTTGATTCCGGAGCAGTGTACCAGCCCATTTTTTATCTTGTACAACATGGTGAGCCTGGATAGTCTTCGTCGTTCTTCCAATGTAGACCAGCCCAGTGTTTTTAGCATGCTGCCAACACTCGAGGTGCTTCTGTAGCGGTTCATGACAAAGCGCGCTGCCCGTCGCTAGACCGCCTCCAACCTGTCGATGCTTTTCTGGGTAAATGGGTCCCCGACTGTAGAAGCGTACTCTAAAATAGGTCGGACAAAGGCTTTATAGGCTTTTTCTTTCACGCTTGAGTTGCCGATCTTCAGATTGCGCCTTAGGAACCCCAGGGTCTTGTTTGCCCGGTTGCACACACTGTTAATGTGCTTGTCCCAGCGGACCTCTCTTTGAATGGTAACACCCAAGTACTTTACGGAGGAAACTGGCTCAAGAATATGGCCATGCAGTTCGTAAGAGTGGTTTAGAGGGAATCTGCTTCTGGAGACTGACAGGGTCTGGCACTTGACGGGATGAAATTCCATGTCCCAGCTCATCTCCCACTCAGCTAACCGATTGAGGTCTTGTTGAAGCTGGCTCTGGTCAGAGCTGTTGACCATTGTCCTATATACCGCCGTGTCGTCTGCGAACAGTCTTGCTTGAGAGGTCAGCTTCTCGGGCAGATCATTGATATATGCTAGGAACAAACAAGGGCCTAGCACTGAGCCCTGGGGGACCCCTGACTTAACACCGACAAAGGAGGAGGTTTTGCCATCTACCACTACTGCCTGGCATCGGTCGCTGAGGAAGCTAGAGATCCATGTTTTGGTAGTGCCTTGGATCCCATATCTCTGCAGTTTGTGTAATAGCAAGCTATGGTTGACACGGTCAAACGCTTTTGAAAAGTCCAGCACAAGCACATCAGTCTGCTTGCTGTTCTCCAAGTTGGTCGTCAATTCTTCAGCAAATTCAAGGAGTTGGGTCTCGCATGATCTGTTGACTCGAAAGCCATGCTGACAGTCATTGAGTATATTATTTCTTTCCAGGTGATTCATGACCGCGCTTACGATTATGTGTTCCAATAGTTTACATACTACGCTAGTGAGGGATACAGGGCGGTAATTGGCTGGTTCGTAATGCTCTCCTTTTTTTGTAGATTGGAGTGACATACGCTGTTCTCCAGTCAGTTGGAATGTTACCTGTGAATAGTGACGATTGGAAGAGGATTGTTAATGCAGGAGCGATTTCATTGGCCAATTCTTTTAGCACTCGTGGTTTGATGTTGTCAGGACCACATGCCTTGTAGGGGTTAATGGTTTTAAGAAGTTCCAGCACACCCTTCTCTGAAATCTGGATATCTTCCATGGTGGGATAGGCTGTGCTCATCATGTTGGTCTTCAGAAGGAACTCAACTTCTGAGTACTCTCTACCATCCCCAAAGACCGACTGGAACTGTTGATTGAGTATGTCCGCCTGTTCTTTGGGTTCAGACGTCAGCTTGCCTTCCCATCTCAGGGGGGAAACCCCGAAGTTTGTTGACCTTTGATGCTTTACATAGCTCCAGAACCGCTTGTTCTTGGCGGTAGTATCTTCCTCTGAGAAGATGCCGTTCAGGTAGTTCCAGTATGATCTGCGCAGTAAGCGTTGGATGGTTCTTCGGAGCCTCAGTACTTCGGCTTTTAATTCGACCGACCCATTCTTCTTCATACGTTTGTACTGGCGGTCTCTCCTGTGTATGAGGCTTTGGATTTCAGCCGTAACCCATGGTTGATTTGTCTTAAGTTTTGAGGTCTTGTGTGGTATGAATTTCATCACTGCATCAGTGATTGTTGTCTTGAATTTCATCCACAGCTCTTCTGTTGTCGCATTACCCTGAATCTCATGCATGTTTGAACTCAGCTCAGTTGTTGCACTTCTCAGGCTATCCCAGTCTGCCTTTGCATAAATGGGGATTTCTCGCACAGCCTGTTTCTTTTTAGCACGCTGACTTGAAATTCGCAGTACGGTATGCAGTGGTCTGATATTCCGGGGATGACTTCTACTCTTGGGATGAGATGTGGACTGTTAGTGAGGAGTAGGTCGAGAGTGTTTTCCCCTCTCGTGGGTTCTTTAACCATCTGTTCCAGACCATGGTTGTTAATTATCTCCATGAATTCAGAGTGTAGGACCGGGTATGGGGACTTGGGCTTCAAAGCAGGAATCTGCCAGTTCCAACCAGGAAAGTTGAAATCTCCCCCTATAAGGAGAGAAATGTTCTTAGACTGCATTGCTCTCTGAAGTGACACATCAAGCCTCCTCAGGCTTGGTTCATCTGCTGTGTTGGGCCTGTAATAGGCACACACGTAAAGTGTGCGTCTACCCTTCAGCTTCACCTTCACCCAAAGGAGTTCGCATTCATCAACATCTAGTTCTGGAACAGCGTGACAGTCCAGGCTGTCATGGACAGTAACAAGTACTCCTCCTCCTCCTCTGTCTTTTCTGTCTCGCCGGAATAGTTTGTAATTAGCCGGTACAACCTCTGCGTTGGCTATGGAGGGATTCAGCCATGTTTCTGTGCCCAAGATGATGTCAGGCTTTAAGCTGTTGATAAAATTGGCTATCTCGACTCTCTTTCCACTTGCAGACTGAAAATTCACATTCAATATGCGCAATGCTCTGTGTTTCCATTTATCTTGCTGACTGCAGCGCATAGGAGTAGAGCAGTGTGGTGGCTGAAAACTCTGAAGGTTCGTTGGTGTGGTGCATGAGGAATTTAGGGAGAAATCTGGGAGGGTGGATTCTGACCTTGAACTGTGGAGGTCAAACACGATCTGGCTATTCGGGCATCCGCAGACAGCACAGTACCACGGCATGCCAGAATTTTCCCCATGCTGTTTGTCATAGTCTGTGTCGATGCTTTGGCATTGACCATGGAACCATTGCCCACATTGTTCACATGCAACGCCTCTGTCTTCCCACTGCACTGCAAGGTCACAAGTACCGCAGGTCCGTAATGACTGGGAACATGAGCGGGTATGCGATGGAGGATAGCCAGCACCCGTAGCGATGTTTGGTCCAGGGTTAGGTTCAGGAGAGTAGGAGTTGGCTAGGAGAATGCAGGCCAGATATAATAGCACAAGTCTTTGGCGTCCTATGGGAAACTGAGCAGAGCAAGTTCGAGATGAACTATGCAAAATGTCAACAAACACGCAGTGGCCAGTCCCCGCTGTGCGGAAAACTGTTTTCTTACATAGGTCTAAATTTACAGATGACACGACAACTTCTGGTCTCTCGGTATCACAAATAAACAGTTTGTTTACCAGAGTCGCTACCACAATGGTATACAGCGTAATATTGTATGTGAACATACCTCCAGTCACTCTGGTGTGTAGCAGTCAAATAGCACACACGCAGGTATAGAGCTATCCTAAGCTTGAAGTAATGCAGGACAGTACAATAAAGATGGCGCCGAATATCAACATGATGCACACAGGTTCTGAAATCACTTGATTTACTTAAAATTTTGAGGACAGTCACTTTGAACCACGCCCTTGACCAGTAATAATATCATTTTAATCTATAACCACAATTGGTTTACAATTTGATGGACAAATAGTGTCATAATCGAAGAAATATTCCTCATCACAAACACAGGTAAACAAATACACGTCTTCACTGGGCATGCGCAAACACCTCAAAGTTCTCTGAATTCTCAAAGCTACTTCTGATTCTTCATTTTTTTAAAACTGATAGTAAACAACAATTATAAACTGCATTTTTGTTCATATTCAATAGGATTGGCTTAGCTATACAATTAACAGTTAATCCAGTATTTTATTATTTGAAGTCACTTAAACTGAAATCAAGCTATACAAAATTTTGAAAAAAAAAGGGAATTAATTAAACTTAAAGAATAGAATACTAATAGTGTTCATAAAGGAAAATATCCTTACCTGATGCCTAAGCCCCCTTCTGTCTTTAAGCTCAGCAACCACCTTTTTTCTATCTTCCACATTTTTAAGTCTGTTTTCATAACGATTCTTCAAATAGACCAAAACAAAAAAAGAAAAAACCTTCAACATAAACCCATACAACTTATTAATACATGATTCTTCACTTTCACTTAGGCTTTTTAAACATAATTTTACAGAAAAAGGTGCTGCAATATTGATCTTTAAAAAAAATGTATTTACTTAATGTAATCTTTAAAAATTAAGTCATTTTCTTGGTTTAAGAACATATAAATCGAACACCTACCTTACATTCTTCTGCTGTTGTATTGTGAAAAAGGGGACAAGATGTAAGTGTCCTGTGAGATTCATGTCTACCACTTAGATGCCCTAAAGAAATATGGCATTTTTGTAAATACATCTAAAACACTCCCTTAAAATGTGAGATTAAAAAAGAGAGCTATCTTCAACACATATTTGCATAATTAATGAATGGACCTTACAGTTTTTTTGTTGATATTTATTTTAGACTTTTAAAGAAATAAAGGCATTTAAAACAGAGAAAATATCTAAGTATTGTAAAAATAGTGTTATAATATAATTAATATTTGTATTATAAACATTGCAATGTTTTTAAGGTGTTGTTCGATTAGGGATTTCCCCCATATTTAGTCTAATTAGAAGCCAAACTAAAATACACTATGAATTTGACTTAATGAAGTTTACTTAAAATATTACTAACAAACCTTTTGAATCACATCCTGGCAAAGGACAGTGGGCACTAGTTTCATCATAATTTGTTTTAGGAGTTGCTCTTCTCTCTGTGAAACCCATCAAGGAGTTTCCATCCTCTGAATCTACATCTCCATTACAATTTCCATTTGACACTGCCACAGGCAACTTTGTTCTGGTCTGAGGTTTTTTCCCATTACTTTTTGCTTTTCCACGAAGAACTGTTTTGACTTTTGCCTCAGGTTTACTTTGTGGCTCTATTGGCTCTTCTGAATCAGATCCAGACTGACTTGATTCTTTAACTACCCTCCTCCGTTTTATAGGAGGGGAATCTTTTGTCCCAATGCTTCCTGCTAAAGGATTAGTTGATTAAATTAACACAACCTCTTTTAGGTAATTACTTACTTTGCAAATGAATAATATTACGCACTTTAAAAAATTCTTATTTATTTCTAAATAATTCAGAGGGAGAAGCAGAAATCAACATTGAACCTTTTGCTGAAGACAGCATATTCTTACCAACAGATGTTGCTGTTGATCTTCGTGTCATTCGTGCAGGTTGTTCCTCATCACTTTCATTTGCCAAGGAATGTTCACTCTCATCAGATCCTGAATCACCACGAAGTCGCTGAAACAACATGATACATTAACTAACAGTGGCACTCAGTAAAAAGATATATTTTCTTTTTTAAAAATAAACTTCATCATATCACTTATTCTAATATTGATCAATAGGTTGAAGGTTTCAAAAAGTCATTTAAGGATGTAGTGCAGATAGGCCCCAACCAATTTAATAACTCTTGTTTTTTAACAAACAGTTAACTGAGGTCGTGCAATATATTTCGTGGTAGTGTATTATAATTATTTAGTAAAGAATAACTTTTAAATTCATTTGATTTTAATAAAATTTAAATAAATATTATAAGGCAAATAAACATGGGTATCGCACAATAAGGCCAGATTTATTAATTAAATCGGTAGGGCAAGATGAGTCTTAATTTGGGCTCAGTTTGATTGTGATGATACACATGCACAATAAATTAGACTTAAAATTAGACACTCTCCATTTCAAATCTTTAGCTATTGTCTACCATTCATGATAATTGGGATGTGCATTATGTAAAAACACCCGCTACTGAAACTATGAGAGGGAAAGTGTGTGTGTGTGTGTGGGGGGGGGGGGGGTCTTGCTCCATATCTGAGGGATACAATAAATTCGCTGCCCTGATCCCGATTAAGCTTATTTTAGGGTTTCTGCTGCAATCATAGTGTATTATGATTAGGCTAGACAGATGTAAGGAAGGATGCATAACTCTACCATGGCAAATTACTGATCATGAAAAATGGAAAGGCATAGATGAAGATGATAGAATAGGACAGGAGGATAGAGTAAAAGTAAATGCGTTTTTTACCAGGCAAGGCTAATATTTATTATCAATAGGCACTTTGATTAAAATTTCAAAACATTTTTAAAAATATAAAAACACTACAGCTGTATAGAGCCTGGAGAATAGATTACAAAAACACCAAGATCAACTTTCTAGCTCAAGTGGTTCAAAAGTTATGATTTTTTTAGTAGGGACCTCAAAGGCACTTTTTTACTATGGGATTTTCCTCCACATTTCGTGACCCTCAATTTTCTTTTTTTTGAATGCCTATAACTTTATTGTAAAATGAGACAAAAATATAATATTTACAGGGAACATAGTTAAATAAGAGTACTTCTAAATAAAGCCACAAAATATAAGTTAGCTTTTGTTAATATTCCGCAAAAATTAAAAAAAAAAAATCTTGATTTTTTTTCTTTTAAAACATGTATAAATATGCTGACTCGTCACTTATTTGAAATTAGTTAATTAATTTTGTTTAAATATTTTTTTTTAAAATTTCCCTTGAATCATAATAATAATAATAATATTCTTTAGATATAAATTTCAAATTTTCTGTGGAATTGTTTAACATTTATAAGTATAAACTAATAATAAAGGGATTACTTGTTTCATTTAGTTAAAATTTACGATTACACTTTTTATTTTACCATTTTCTATATATGTATTTTAGTCCCATATCATATGAATTTCTGAATATGACAAAAAAATAGTATGTCATTTTTTTACAAGTTAGTAATCTTGTTTCACAAATTAACATGCATTGATAGAATCAACTTTGGTGGTTTATACAAACTAAAATAAGTTCTAGTCATTTGCTTGTGGTAAGTATAAGTTTTTATGATTGTTCTTTAATATTAATAATATCTTAAGTAATTCTTGGACTATTGTGGCAGAAAGTGTGTTTTTTCTTTGAGAATTCAAGGATTATGTAATAACTCTCTTGTTAAATATTGTGATATGTGATTAAATATAGGATATTTCAATGTGAAAGGTAAGTGACTATTTTTTTTTTTTACATTTTTGCTTAATCTATTCATTAAGAATCATAATATTCATTAAAATATCCTTACAAATAACAAATAATGTGTCACACAAATAATGAGTTGGGCAGGAGCTAGGCCTATACTTAAAATACTATACTTTTCTAGGCCTGCATATATATTAAACTTTTATATTTAATATATTAATTATAATAAATAGTTTAACCCACTATCCAAGTCGATACCCTCCAATAAAAGCATCAAAACAAGTTAAAAAAATATATTTATGTTGTTTAGATAGGTATCTGTGTTATTAAATTATTTGTTTTTGAATGAGTTATTTTTAAGTAATAAGCTGGATTTCCATTGTAAATCAAGTTATTTACTTCTTTTTTTAATTATAAAAAATCGTTATCGATAATAGGTCATTTTGGTACACACTTGACAAAAATTTGGTAGGCATTTTTAGACCATTGAACTGGGTGCTAACCTCTTGAATTTTTGATATGTTGTAATTTATGCTATTATCTCCCGTCGTCTTTTTATTTAAGAAAAACACCCTTTCCAGAAAAAAAATATGAATGAGTAAAATAAGCATTATTTTACCTTCAATTTTCAAAGTTAAGACCTCAAATATTTTTTAGAACAAAAGTGTCTAATCATAAAACAACATGTCTACTCAAAGTTGTGGGCGGAAATAGAATGTTCTTGATGGGCTATAATTAGCAAAAAAATCGTAAACAACGAGGGTCTTGGTAAATTAAAAAGTGGAGGTCGCCATTTTGATAACAAAATCACGATACCCGGTTTTCGGCAATTCCCGGATCTCATCGAAGTGGCTAATTATCAACTACTGTTATTATTTACCTGAGCTTTCATTACTGCTATATAACTTATAACCGAACCTATCTTATTCATACTGGGAGCAGCTATTTTTACTTTTTAGTAATTAATTTTAGTATTTTTAGGGACCCTGTGTGTACAAGAAGGTCTATAACTATAAGTAGGTAGTTTAAGTAGTAAGTAGTGTCTTATTCTTAATAAATTAAAGAAAGTCTTAAATAATAATGTAAAGTATATATACGCCGAATAGGAAGAACTGGGATTACATTAACAGATATTAGTTAGGCCTAAGTCTTGGGTAAATAAATACTATTTTATTTGTTAAATGAACCTATGTTTATAACTAATAACTAAATTTACTTGTTTTTATTTTTAGTTTCCGAATTTTAGTGCATCCGAATTCATGATCAAAACATTTATTGTTTCGGCAGTTACCTTTCTCCGTCTCATCCTTAGGAGTCGTAACCCAGCAGATATATTGATAAATTTAACTGAACTTGTTTTTTATACCCAAAACAACAAATCAAAAGATAACTTTAATAAAGGTTATTTCTTTTTATTGTTATTAAGAGACTAGTAGAGGCGCTAAATTTAATGAATTTCCGGCTGCAAAAAAGAGTTTAGAACAAGTTGTCTTCCCTTGACTGAATGATGCCAAATTGGAAATTGTTGATAATTTTTTTTCCTTATCCTCTTCTAAATAGAAAGAAAAATACATACAGTCCAATAAGTCGACTCCATATGTTTAAATTGTATTTAACTATGTACTTTACATTTTTCTTCTGTTTTTTTTTACAACTTTGAAGGGTTATAGTCTGAACAGCTATAGATAATGTAAAATTAAGAATTTAATAATTATAATTTTAAGCATTTCAGCAAAAAAGATAAAATATTTAAGTACCATTTTTTTCCATGACATATAGTTTACTAAATAGTTTAAATAGTCTAATTATAATTTGATTCACCGCCTCGTTGGCTTGTTTTACTCTTTTCATGTGTACTACTTGTTTCGTTTAATCGTTAATGGTGAAACCAATTCATCAATTAATACTTAACAGTTTTTGTTTATCATTTTATTTAGTAGTCGGTGCTAACATTCCTATCGATACCACGTTATTGATATAAATAATGGCGACCAACGACACACAAGTGGAAGAAGCAGAGGTGGAAGATAATGATGCAGAGTCGGAGTTAAAAGGAAAAAAAGTTGCGAAACATGATGCTGGAGCCGCCGATTTGGAAAAAGTTACTGACTATGAAGAGGAAAAAGAAATAGCATCTCAAGATATTCAAGACGTAAGTGTCTAACCGTAGACCGTAGTCTAACGGCTTAGACTTAGATTTCAAATAAATTTAGTTAATTTATAATTTAGGTACCGGTAAATAATGTAATTAAAAACAGTATTATTATAATTATTGGTAGTAGTTACTTAGACTTTGTCCAGCATTCACTATGCTACGTTCTATTTCAGACTATATGTGACTTATATTCTCAGTTCAATATATTAAGTTAATTAAGTATATTTGTCACAATTTGTGTGACCAGTGAGTGTTTTCAGTATTATTAAATTTGAGTTTTGTTAGTTTTGAGTTGTTTAATTTTAATAGGCTTTGTCATTTCTAAGACCGGAAAACGTCATAGCGTACTATTTTTAGAAGGTCCGCGGACAAATATTGCTTAAAACATGGCAGCTCATAGTGTATTTCAGCATATCGTTCGGGCGATCCTTGTATCTAGAGTTACTGTTACATATGACGTTCACGCAATGAAGTCGCATTTGAGAAAACAGAAGTAAAAAAAAAAAATTTGTAAAATATTTCGTAAAATAGAGTTGTAAACAAGTTTCAGGGACACTTCGCTAACATAGTAATACTGAACAGTGTTGACATTTTGTCCGCGCTGAGTACCCGGATGATCAGTAATGGTGACATCAGTTCTATTAATAGATTTCCGCCATTAAATGACAAGCCCTATTACTGGGCCTAAGCCTCATTGATAGAGCCATAGGTAACCATAATTTTAAGGTAGGTACTTTGGTAAAGCAAGGGAGACCACTTCAAAATTTGTTTCGAAAATGGGCGTCAGCGCAGTAAAATCTGACTGTTTTAATTTTTATGTGTGTCAATTATCACTCAATTCATTTAAACTTAAAAGAGTTTTACTTCTGCATTTTCACTATGGAAGACATATTGGCCTACATTTCCATCCAGCTATTTTGCTTTTCAATCGACCTTTATTTTGAAAATCCTTTGTATATAATAAGGCATCCTCACATACAAAAGATTAAGATGCGGAGAGAAGAACTGTGATGGCTGTTCACACTACTGCAGACCAGTTTACTCATACAATTATGGCACACAATGTAAAATTTCGAGATGTCTTTTACGATTGTATGCCAATACCCATCATAACTACGATTTTTAGAGACTGGGTTGTACATTACCGGTATTTAAAAATACTACAATATATAAGTCCAAAAGTAGCATATTTATATCTCGAATGCTGTAAAAATATCACACAATGTTTTATAGGAATTATCGTCATAATGTTGCCATGTACTTTAGAGATATTACATTAATATTTATTCCACCGTCTGTTCAAGGTGCATGTGACGTATATTTTGTTGGGCTACACCAGTGCAGTCTATTTCCTGGCGCATATGCCAAATTTAGGTTTTCATCAGACTCTGTATTAAATTCTAGCAAGTGCACTTTGAAACAGCAAAAAAATTAACAAAATAAAGGGTTGGGTAAAAATAAATATAACGCATAAGTAGGTCACTATCTACCATCTACTAACTGCATACAGTAGTTACTGAAGTGGGTTACTATTTGCACCATGACCGAAAGATGTCACATTGGATTAAAAGTTGAAATAAAATTGTGAAAATTTTGTAATATTTTGCAACGCCGCTGTGAGGAAGCAACAGCAACCCATATAGAAAAATGTGCACACACCCACGGGCGGATCAGTAAAAAGGGCATTTTTTAGGGCTCCTTGTCTTTGTGAAGTAAATATTAAGGTCCTTTCTGGAGACGATTTTGACACTTGTTGCTCTTCGCAGGGCGATGCGGTTCATATTCTGGGAAACCACTGGGCGCGCTGAAAAGCCGGGGGTGAAAACCTGTAACATTTTGTTTAAACATCATAATTATAGAAAGATTATTGGATTTGGTTGGGTTTTTTGTTCTTTTTTATTTGGGGAGTGGGGTTGTTGAAAGCTAATTGTATGTATGCTGGGGGGGGGGGGGGT